AATAAAATATTTCTTTTAAGTTGATTTGTTATAAATTTTAATAAAATTTTTTATTAAAATATTATGTTGAAATTTGGTATAACGTGTGGGGTACGGGTGCCACAATTTGTTAACTCTGAAGAGGAAATTTTTTGGGGTCGTATGAAATTTGATGATAATCAAAACAAAACCCAAAAATGCTTCTACAGCTACTAAAGAACAGCCAAACCAGTGAAAAAAATTTACAAAGAAGAAAAAAATGTAAGATAGGAAAAAAAGTGGCGATCTAATTTTAAAATTCTTGCAGATTTTTATGTTTGTTCGGTTGAGGTGGTGAAACGAAAAGGTGTGCAAAATTGGGATGGCAGAAGTTGAAATTTCATTAGCAGTACCAGCCAGAAGAAGAAAAAAAAAACAAAATCTGTGAATTACCTCTGTCTTTATTAAAACAAAAACGCCTAAGTCAAAAAATGCAAAATGTATAAAAATTGTATTTGAATAAAACATGAATAAAAATTTGTTCTGTGTGACAGTGTCCTCCACACACGTTTGGCTTCAAACGATCCAAGTATCCTTGAATCTCTGTCAGCTCATGGGTTAGGAAAGGATGAAGGAAATGGTGTTTGGTTATGTTCTGTTAAAGGATGTTTTGTAGGGAATTTATTGTTTCCTGATATTTGTCGATGTCAATGATATGAATTATCCTGAAGTTACCATCTTGAATTTTTGCCAAACCGGAATCAAACGCAACAATTTGAGAGTTTGTATAGTCCAGAATCATGACATAGGCGGTCGCCGTGGCGAACAAAAATCTGAAAATATTTGATTTCTTAATTTCTGATATTGTTTTTGTGTACGGTTTTTCCTGACTCTGTAATGACAGATATATAATGATATTTGTCGATGTCAATGATATGAATTATCCTGAAGTTACCATCTTGAATTTTTGCCAAGCCGGAATCAAACGCAACAATTTGAGAGTTTGTATAGTCCAGAATCGTGACATAGGCGGTCGTCGTGGCGAACAAAAATCTGAAAATATTTGATTTCTTAATTTCTGATATTGTTTTTGTGTACGGGTTTTCCTGACTCTGTAATGACAGTTGTATTCTCGTTTTCTTTTACTATTTCCTGTCTGTATGCTTTACTTAACTTTGTCCCAAGTCTCCTATTCTCTTTTACGAATATGATTTCTCCTGGCGTATAGGTTTTTGGTTGAGTCCTTTTAAGATATTGTGATAGTTAATATCTTCTGCTTGTTTTTCTTTAAGCATTTGGACAATTTCGGATCTTTCTTTCTCTATATCATCCTGACTCATGTTTGCCCTTTTTCCAAGAAATGCTTCCACTGGTCTCTTTTGAATGCTTGGGTGTATTGTGTTATTATATTCGTAAATGGATCTATGTAAAAGCTCTGAGAAGGATTTGTGTAAGTTTTGTGCTTTTAGACATCGCATTATCTCTGTCAGTGTAGAGTGGAACCGCTCAATTTGCCCATTTACAGTACTACTGTACGGCGAGATTTTGAACAATTTGATGTTGTACTGATTTTCTAACATGAAAACTATTGCTTTGGAATTAAAAGATCTTTCGTTGTCGATAACTATTATTTCAGGAATTCCAAAGGATATGACTAATTCCCTAAGTGGTTCTTTAATGTGTTCTGCTGATCTTGATTTCAGGATTTTGGCTTGAGCGTATTTAGAAAACTTGCCTATAGCCGTCAATACGGATGTCTTTTCGGTTATGTAGATGTCTATGTGAACAATCGGTCCAGAACTTTGTGGGATAGGTGTTTCCTGTAGCCCTATCTTATTAGGATGTCTATCGTATTTGTTTTCTTTGCAAATTTTACATTGATCGACTATTTTCTTAATTTTAGCTTGCATTCTGGGAAAGTAGTACTTTGTCAATAACTGTGTTTTATTTTCTACGCTATTTCGGTGTGCTCTATTATGTTTAGCAATAATCTTGTTTTCTTGGTCTTCATCATTTTTCAAGTCGGTTACCATTTGTCTTGAATATTTGACTTTGTATTGTGTGAAATTATCACGGAACACTTCTTACAATACTCCCAAGATTTCGTCATTAGTCTTTAAACAGTTTGTTACCGATGAGTTTAAATATTTGTTCAAAATGTCTCTGAGAAATTCTGGTGTAATATTTCTTTCATTTATAGTATGTCTGTGATAAGTTGGAAAGACAATTTCAAATTTATAAGATGGTTCATCATCTTCTGAAAAGATGAGTATTCGATTTTTAAATGCGTTTATCGGAGCGTCAGTGTATTATATTATGTTATGAGATGAGCTTTCGTGACTGTGTTGTGTCGAAGTCAGAGCATTTATCTCTTCTGGTTCTTTAAGAGGTCTTGATAGTGCATCGGCAACTACGTTTGTACTACCGGGTTTGTATAGTAATTCGTAATTGAATTCCTCAAGGAAGGCTTTCCATCTTCTTAGCTTGAAATTAGCTGTTTTATTATTCAATACATATGTCAGTGGAAGGTGATCGGTATAAATTTTAAGTTTGGCAGAGCCGTAAAGGTAGTTTCTGAGGGATTTGAGAGCCCAGGTAATTGCAAGCATCTCCTTTTCGTTTGTTGCATAATGTTCCTCTACCTTTTTGAAAGTTTTAGACAAAAATACAATTGGTTTACTATCTTGTGAAAGCACTGCGCCCATTGCGTAGTGCGAAGCGTCAGTTGTAAGTTCAAATTCTTTATTAAAATCGGGGTATGCCAATATTACATCTTTCGATGACAATATTCTCTTCAATTTATTAAAAGCTTCTACTGCTTCTTGATCGAGATCTATGGCCATTTTATTGGAAACGTATTTGGACGCACGTCCTGCCTCCCCCCTTAAATATATTGTCAGAGGTTTAGAAATTTTGGCATAATCTCTAATAAAGCGTCTGTAGAAATTGCAAAGTCCTAAAAATGATCTTAAGTCTTTTAGCGTTACCGGAAGTGGAAATTTTTCAATTGCTTCAACTCTTTTTGGGTTTGTTTTTATACCGGAATCGGATATTATGAAACCTAGGAATTCAACTTCTCTTTTCAGAAATTCACATTTGTCGAGTTGTACCTTTATATTGGCTTTCTCTAATGTCTCGAATATGGTTGAAATATTCTTGAGATGTGAATCTTCATCCTCTGCGAATATTATTATATCATCCATATATATGAAACATATTTTGCCAATGTGCTCCCTGAGAATGTCGTCCAAGGCTCGTTGGAATATGGACGGAGCATTTCTCAAACCAAATGGAAGTCGAGTGAATTCGTATTTTGCATTATTAATAGAAAATGCAGTTTTTTCTCTATCACTTTCTTTACGTAATATTTGATGAAATTAACATTTTAAAACTAATACACTAAACAGTTTATTTTTTCCTATTTGTGGTAGGATTTCATTTATTTCTGGTATGGGATATCTATCTCGAAATGTCTCCTTATTTAATTTTCTATAGTCTATCACCATTCTGTATTTCACATTGCATGATGCATCCGATTTTTTTGGCACGATTCAAATAAAAATTATGTCCAGGTTGGATATAATTTTTATTTGAATCAGTATCAATCAAGATTTAAAGAATTTGTCCTGAATTCGTCCTACATTCAAAATAAGGTAAGGACGAATTCGTTAATCTAAAAAATGAGAATCTACGAATTCTTGTGTATCTTGTTTGTCATCGTTGTCAAGAACATCATATTGATTTTTTATGTAATCATTGAGATCAGGTAATTGTTCTTGATTTTCATACTGCTCTACCATTTTGTCGTATTCTTCAGCGGTGGGACCTAATTCATCTGTGTCTACATGAAAATTTCGTTGTGCCTTATCAGGTCTCCTAAATTGGTCAGAATGTTCTGATGGTCTCTTTCCATAAAATGTATTATTTTGTGTTGGCCTATTCATGTAGTTAACAGCTCGGGATTGCATGGAAGCATCTATTTCCATCGGCTCAGGCTTGGGCTGAGGTTTTGGTGCTGTTGGTCTTGGTGGTTGCAAATTTTGATTTTGGGGGTAATTATGTTGATTATAATTGTTACGAGGATAAACAGAAGGATTAGAATAATTTTGTCGAACACCAGAATGTTGTGTTAAATATGCCAATTGTGGATAAAATGGCATCTGATTCGTATTTTGAAAATGAGTTTTTGGATGGGGTGGTTTCTGAAAATTTGGTCTATTATTTTTATCTGTTGGAATATGTGAGTTAGCAAATTGTGCTCTAGCGAATAGATTTTCCATTTTGAGACATAATTGTAGTGATTGTGGGAGGTCCGTCGGCTCTTTCATGCCAAGATGAATTGACATTTGTCCTTTTATGTCCTTGTCCTTTTTATGTCTAAAGCTTTATCCCTATAAGATTGGGCTAGGATATCTAGAGCTTCTTTACCTACATCGAGACATGACAATTTATTCATAATAAGCGTAAGGTGAGAATACACTTCTTGATAAAAATCTTGGATACTGTTGTTACCTTGTATTAAGGTTGTCATTTGATATTCTAGTGTCGTAAGATCACGCTTATCTGCGTAGTGAAGCGTCAGACAATTTGAGATACTATTCCAATTAAGGGGTGTATTATAAGACTCTAAGGCTGCATCGGCATTACCGATGATTTTATTCCTTATGGTGTTAAGGATGGCAAAGTATTTTGGAGTACCTTTTGTAGATTCGTATAATTTAAGGATCCTTTCGACACTCTTTTTCCAAGAGCTGAATTCCGATGCTTTTCCTGAAAATTCTCTCAAGCTTCTCACTACGTCGGGTACTTTATCTAAATCTGTCAAGATTTCTCTATATTTGACGTCGATAGTTTCGTCTTCACCTGCTATGTCTTAAAAATTGGGCTATAGCAATTTGGTATTGCTATTATTGTTATTATTATTCTGTCCGTAATTATTTTGTCCGTCGGAGTTATTGACGTTAAGGATGGATGGTCGGATAAGGTTATTGGGGTTGGACATTTTAAACGATCAGTATTTAGTTGTTAACTTATTAGAACGCAAATTTTCAAAATTGATAATAGAAAAATTGTTTTATCAATGTTTTTAGTTTTTGGGTTTTTTTTTCACTTAAACACTATCACTTTTTATTTCTAAACCTACAATAAAACTTTTTAGAGCATGTCGTCTGTTTTGTTTTAACTTTTCAAAATTAATAATAGGGAAATTGTTTTTATCAATGTTTTTAGTTTTTTTTTCACTTAAACACTATCACTTTTTATTTCTAAAGTTACAATGAAACTTTGTAGAGCTTGCCGTCTCCTGTTGATTCTCCGTATTCCTTTTTGCTTCTGCTACTAAGGGGGTGTCTTCAATCTCTTGAGCCGGCTGGATGTCGTTGACTCTCTCGTACTCCACAAGTTTTTTCCACAGCTTTTGGGGATTTAGTGTTGATTTACAGCCTTTATAGGGTGCCTTCTCCAACAGGTTTTTGATGTTTTTACTGATTTTGATGTTGTACTGATTTTCTAACATGAAAACTATTGCTTTGGAATTAAAAGATCTTTCGTTGTCGATAACTATTATTTCAGGAATTCCAAAGGATATGACTAATTCCCTAAGTGGTTCTTTAATGTCTTCTGCTGATCTTGATTTCAGGATTTTTGCTTGAGCGTATTTAGAAAACTTGTCTATAGCCGTCAATACGGATGTCTTTTCGGTTATGTAGATGTCTATGTGAACAATCGGTCCAGAACTTTGTGGGATAGGTGTTTCCTGTAGCCCTATCTTATTAGGATGTCTATCGTATTTGTTTTCTTTGCAAATTTTACATTGATCGACTATTTTCTTAATTTTAGCTTGCATTCTGGGAAAGTAGTACTTTGTCAATAACTGTGTTTTATTTTCTACGCTATTTCGGTGTGCTCTATTATGTTCAGCAATAATCTTGTTTTCTTGGTCTTCATCATTTTTCAAGTCGGTTACTATTTGTCTTGAATATTTGACTTTGTATTGTGTGAAATTATCACGGAACACTTCTTACAATACTCCCAAGATTTCGTCATTAGTCTTTAAACAGTTTGTTACCGATGGGTTTAAATATTTTTTCAAAATGTCTCTGAGAAATTCTGGTGTAATATTTCTTTCATTTATAGTATGTCTGTGATAAGTTGGAAAGACAATTTCAAATTTATAAGATCTTCTGAAAAGATGAGTATTCGATTTTTAAATTATATTATGAGATGAGCTTTCGTGACTGTGTTGGGTCGAAGTCAGAGCATTTATCTCTTCTGGTTCTTTAGGAGGTCTTGATAGTGCATCGGCAACTACGTTTGTACTACCGGGTTTGTATAGTAATTCGTAATTGAATTCCTCAAGGAAGGCTTTCCATCTTCTTAGCTTGAAATTAGCTGTTTTATTATTCAATACATATGTCAGTGGAAGGTGATCGGTATAAATTTTAAGTTTGGCAGAGCCGTAAAGGTAGTTTCTGAGGGATTTGAGAGCCCAGGTAATTGCAAGCATCTCCTTTTCGTTTGTTGCATAATGTTCCTCTACCTTTTTGAAAGTTTTAGACAAAAATACAATTGGTTTACTATCTTGTGAAAGCACTGCGCCCATTGCGTAGTGCGAAGCGTCAGTTGTAAGTTCAAATTCTTTATTAAAATCGGGGTATGCCAATATTACATCTTCCGATGACAATATTCTCTTCAATTTATTAAAAGCTTCTACTGCTTCTTGATCGAGATCTATGGCCATTTTATTGGAAACGTATTTGGACGCACGTCCTGTCTCCCCCCTTAAATATATTGTCAGAGGGTTAGAAATTTTGACATAATCTCTAATAAAGCGTCTGTAGAAATTGCAAAGTCCTAAAAATGATCTTAAGTCTTTTAGCGTTACCGGAAGTGGAAATTTTTCAATTGCTTCAACTCTTTTTGGGTTTGTTTTTATACCGGAATCGGATATTATGAAACCTAGGAATTCAACTTCTCTTTTCAGAAATTCACATTTGTCGAGTTGTACCTTTATAATGGCTTTCTCTAATGTCTCGAATATGGTTGAAATATTCTTGAGATGTGAATCTTCATCCTCTGCGAATATTATTATATCATCCATATATATGAAACATATTTTGCCAATGTGCTCCCTGAGAATGTCGTCCAAGGCTCGTTGGAATATGGACGGAGCATTTCTCAAACCAAATGGAAGTCGAGTGAATTCGTATTTTGCATTATTAATAGAAAAGGCAGTTTTATCTCTATCAATTTCTTTAAGTAATATTTGATGAAATCCACATTTTAAAACTAATACACTAAACAGTTTATTTTTTCCTATTTGTGGTAGGATTTCATTTATTTCTGGTATGGGATATCTATCTCGAATTGTCTCCTTATTTAATTTTCTATAGTCTATCACCATTCTGTATTTCACTTTGCATGACGCATCCGATTTTTTTGGCACGATTCAAATAAAAATTATGTCCAGGTTGGATATAATTTTTATTTGAATCAGTATCAATCAAGATTTAAAGAATTTGTCCTGAATTCGTCCTACATTCAAAATAAGGTAAGGACGAATTCGTTAATCTAAAAAATGAGAATCTACGAATTCTTGTGTATCTTGTTTGTCATCGTTGTCAAGAACATCATATTGATTTTTTATGTAATCATTGAGATCAGGTAATTGTTCTTGATTTTCATACTGCTCTACCATTTTGTCGTATTCTTCAGCGGTGGGACCTAATTCATCTGTGTCTACATGAAAATTTCGTTGTGCCTTATCAGGTCTCCTAAATTGGTCTGATGGTCTCTTTCCATAAAATGTATTATTTTGTGTTGGCCTATTCATGTAGTTAACAGCTCGGGATTGCATGGAAGCATCTATTTCCATCGGCTCAGGCTTGGGCTCAGGTTTTGGTGCTGTTGGTCTTGGTGGTTGCAAATTTTGATTTTGGGGGTAATTATGTCGATTATAATTGTTACGAGGATAAACAGAAGGATTAGAATCATTTTGTCGAACGCCAGAATGTTGTGGTAAATATGCCAATTGTGGATAAAATGGCATCTGATTCGTATTTTGAAAATGAGTTTTTTGGATGGGGTGGTTTCTGAAAATTTGGTCTATTATTTTTATCTGTTGGAATATGTGAGTTAGCAAATTGTGCTCTAGCGAATAGATTTTCCATTTTGAGACATAATTGTAGTACTTGTGGGAGGTCCGTCGGCTCTTTCATGCCAAGATGAATTGACATTTGTCCTTTTAGTCCTCTTATGAAAATGTCTAAAGCTTTATCCCTATAAGTTTGGGTTAGGATATCTAGAGCTTCTTTACCTATATCGAGACAATTTATTCATAATAAGCGTAAGGTGAGAATACACTTCTTGATAAAAATCTTGGATACTGTTGTTACCTTGTATTAAGGTTGTCATTTGATATTCTAGTGTCGTAAGATCACGCTTATCTGCGTAGTGAAGCGTCAGACACTTTGAAATACTATTCCAATTAAGGGGTGTATTATAAGACTCTAAGGCTGCATCGGCATTACCGATGATTTTATTCCTTATGGTGTTAAGGATGGCAAAGTATTTTGGAGTACCTTTTGTAGATTCGTATAATATAAGGATCCTTTCGACACTCTTTTTCCAAGAGCTGAATTCCGATGCTTTTCCTGAAAATTCTCTCAAGCTTCTCACTACGTCGGGTACTTTATCTAAATCTGTCAAGTTTTCTCTATATCTGACGTCGATAGTTTCGTCTTCACCTGCTATGTCTGAACTAGGTCTTAAAAATTGGGCTATAGCAATTTGGCATTGCTGTGCACAGATTCTGGCAATGGTTTGCTCCATGTTTGCTGAATTTATTGCGCTATTATTGTTATTATTATTCTGTCCGTTATTATTTTGTCCGTCGGAGTTATTGACGTTAAGGGTGGATGGTCGGATAAGGTTATTGGGGTTGGACATTTTAAACGATCACTATTTAGTTGTTAATTTATTAGAACGCAAATTTTCAAAATTAATAATAGGGAAATTGTTTTTATCAATGTTTTTAGTTTTTGGTTTTTTTTCACTTAAACACTATCACTTTTTATTTCTAAAGTTACAAAAAAACTTTATAGAGCATGCCGTCTCCTGTTGATTCTCCGTATTCCTTTTTGCTTCTGCTACTAAGGGGGTGTCTTCAATCTCTTGAGCCGGCTGGATGTTGTTGACTCTTTCGTACTCCACAAGTTTTTTCTACAGCTTTTGGGGATTTAGTGTTGATTTACAGCCTTTATAGGGTGCCTTCTCCAACAGGTTTTTGATGTTTTTAGTTACCAGTACGCAGCTTTATTAGGTGCCTTTTTCCACAGGTTTTGATGTTTTTAGTTAACAGTTTGCAGCTTTATGAGGTGCCTTTATTAACTTTGCAGCCGTTTGGGTGCTTTAATTTTTAGTTGGGCGTCAATTAAACACAAAGTTATTTTTCGAGTGCCAGAATGGGACTGAAACTTTATTTTCATTCATTCTTAAAATTAAGTTTGTTAAACAATGTATTGAATGCAACGTTAGCATTTTTATTTTTATTACTTCTTAAAGTTACGTTTCTTAAACTGTAAGCATTTTGTGTTTGTTGTTCATACGAATAAATGTCTCAAATGCACTGTAAGCATTTTGTATTTGTTGTTCACAAGAATAAAGGTTTCAAATGTACTGTAAGCATTTTGTATTAAATTTGTTGTTCACATACTTAAGTGTCATCGAACTTGCACGCGCAAAAGAAATGAAGAAGTTAACGATAACTTATATGCGGAAATTTTGACAACAGTCAAATGATTATCGACAGCTTTGCCATATGAAAATTGCTAACTCAGGTTGATTTTGTTCACTAACAAAACAGATCTATTAATAAGGTAAACCAAGTAGCAATCGAAATCGAAAAAAAGTTGTTTTTTCTCAAGTCTAATGTCAAAAATTTCGACTTTGTTTACGTTTTCGTAATGGAATTCAATTCACAATAATGCATTTTGACAGGAAACTTGAGAGATATCGATTTCCAGCTGGTCTCCATGGGTGACCTTATTTATAGGCCATGGCCGCCACTGTCAAGGTTGCAGTAATCGGAGATGCAACCCTGCGATATTTATAGAGATCGCTAGGTCGACCCCTATAAATAAACAGCAGGAAAATAAGAAAAGCCAGAAAAGAGGGAAAATTCGGCGTCATTCCCTGCCGTATATAAGGCCCTAAAAATGAAAATGTGCTTTATTCTTTATTCTAGTGGCGCAGTACTGAAAGAGAGTTTCAAAGAAAATAAACAAAACTATTTAATTTATTAAAGTATCTGTACATATTCCCACAAGGACGTAGGATCAGTTGTGAAGTCTAAATCCGCACGAATTGAGAGCCTTGGAATTAATAGTTGTCGGCGAAAGCAACAATTACACACATACAAATATACACACAACACCACAAGTATATGTGTTATACTCACGTGATGTTTAGGCACAATTAAAAGAATTAAATTTTTACTTTTCTTTAATCATACCTGCCAGGCGGCAGTATCTTTATTGAGTTAATTGGGGGTTTTTATAAATCTTAGATCAGGACGATCTTTTGGGTTCACTACTTGATCAAGAAGAGATTGGAGATGGGTTATATTCGATTAATTCTTTTTGAAGGAGATGGGAGGACACCGATGACTCAAACCACCAAGTTGTCAGCGGTGTCCATAGGGGCGGTACCCACGGACTGCAAGATGACCGTGCGGCCGCCAACATTCTCCCCCCTTGCACTGGTGCAACTTTCACCGCCGATGTCAGGATCTTTATTTGCTCCGAAATTTCTTGGAGGATCTTCTTTGTTGTCTCCAACTCGGAGCACTTTGTTGTTGTATCCATGAGCGTTGTTTGGCTGTTGAGGTGGATTGTTTTCAGGAGGCCAGTTATCAAATTTCCGCTGATCGTTTGGGTACAGTGGGGTATGATGTCCCCGCATAGTAGAAATATCTTGGTTCTTATGATTGTTGGTGGTGATAGACTGGCTTTATCGTATAATTTTACTACGTTCAACCGAAATTTTCGTTTCGTTATTTCTCTTGCTGTAGAGTATGGAATCGTTGTATACGAGAATTTGTGCCTAAGTACATTCTTAATAATTCTTGCGTAAAAGTATCTGGGGATTCGTATTTTTTTTAAACAGAAATCCGCCGATTTCAACATTTTCGCTCCACCGTTTTGAGCCTGCAGCGCGGAATCAATAGTTTGACCGCCTGCTAATATGTCGTCTACATATATTTCTTTTTTAAGTATATTTGTAGCTAGCGGCCGCTCAATTTGCCATTCTGTGACCAGCTGCAATAACGTTCTTATTGCCAGGAATGGCGCACAGTTAATACCAAATGTGACAGTGTTTATTTTGTAATCTTCGATTTGGGCGGTTTCATTTCGTCGAAAGAATATTCTCTGATACGGTATATCAGACTAGTGTAAAAGTACATCTTCTCAATGTCACCATTAAATACATATTTATATAACCGCCAATTTAAAATTACAGACGTTAAATCATTTTGTAATGTTGGGCCTGTACATAGAATATAATTCAATGAAAATGAACTGTTTGTTTTGCATGACCCATTAAACACACGTGATGAATATTCATTTAAAACGTCTCTGTACTTGTTTACCAGCATTTTGTCTTTATTTAATCTATTTATATATTGGGGTAAAGATTTGAAACGAGGTGATAAAATACACCAAATCTACCGCCCGGTCGACGGCAAGTCTCTTTGTAAAAGTCTTCGCAGTACTCATTTGATACGGTGGGAATATGAGTCCGTTCGACTTCTTGTTCCCCGAATTTTTGTGATAATGCTTCTATGTCTTCTTCACCTTTCGAAGATTCTTTGACTGTGGCCAATGCTATACTTTCGTATGTATACCAACCATAAATTGAATTCTGTGCTATCATGTTACGTAGAATATTTTTCTTCATGCCATTTAGCATTATTGTTGGAAGGATATCGCTTCCAGTCAACATATCTACATGCGCTGATACCGAAAAACCAGGATCGGCTAGTTTTAAATCTTTAACTTCACTACAGTACGAGTTTGGAAGAGACCTAGTTGGAAGTAGACTAATAAGATTTCTTAGCGCTATTACTTCGGATACTAGAAAAAAGAAGTGCCATCTGTACATAGTGTAATGCAACATAGTGTATTGTACATAGTGTAATGTATTGGTGACTATTGTGTCACTTAAACCACTAATTTGGAAATCTTCGTTTCTGGTCGTAATACCTAAGCGATTAACCACTTTATCTGTCACAAATGATCTTTTAGACGCCGAATCTAACAACGCGCGTAATGTGAACCTTTGTCCGGAGTGCATAATTTGTACCAAGGCCGTCGGTAACATAACGTCACCGTGACTAATTGTTGCTAGTGTCTGAACGTTTGTATTAGACACTGCCCTCGACGAGCATGGCAATTCATTGTGCGATTCGTCAGTGGTGATATGTGTTTCGGTTCCGGCATGACCATAATTGTTTTCACGCGCTACGTTATTAGCTCTAGATTGTTGTTGTGAATAGTTCGTTATATGCAACTTAGTATGATGTTTTTTCTTACATTGCATACATCTGTGCATACTGATGCATTCTTGGCTTGTGTGTCCACTTGCAAGACAATTGTTGCATAAACGTTTTTCTTTTGCAACTTCGATTCGCTGACTAGCTGACATGTTGTTAAATCTGGGACAGTTTCGCAGTATATGATTTTTTACGCATAGAATACATCTATTTGAATTTGTGTTTGTATTATATTGAGCACCGAAGTCGTATCGTGAAGATTGTGGAGCGTTTTGTGTTTTTATACGACCAATTCGTTCTAACACTTGATGTCTGTTAATCAGAAATTCTTTCATTTGAGACCACTTTGTCAAGTCAGCATGTGACTCAAGTGACTGCTCCCATAATGTCAAAGTTTCTATTGGAAATTTTGTAGAGCAAATAGATATTAAAATTGGATCCCACTCGCCCACACTGATGTAGTGTGCTTCCAAAATTGCGGAACAATCACTGATTGTTAACTGGATCCTTTTCATGTCTTCGTTGTTTTCGTTTTTTGCGGGAGCTATTTCGAATAAAATTCGCAATTGGTTGTCAACCAAAACTCGCTTGTTTTCGTAGCGTTTCTTTAGTGCGTCCCATGCTAAAGAAAAGTTTAGATCTGACAATGAGAATCTTCGCAACCTTTTTAAAACCATCATCTAATGCCTTGTCATCGGCAAGATAGACGTTTTCATAGGCGGTACGTACATTATGCCAGTCTTCATATAATGATTCTAATTTTGTTCCTATGAGCGAAACTGATAAATCGTTTTCGGACATATCTAATGTTTTAGCACATGCTCCCATTAAATTCTCCATGTCGAAGTGGAACCGTGCACAAATTATTTTTGTTATTTCTTTGATTTGTTTTAATATTATTTATTTAATTTTATTATTTGTATATTTTTATGTTTATATATTTTTTATGGAATTTTGTTATTTATTGTTATTTATTATTTGGTTCTATTGCGCCTTCGGGCAACTTTCTGATTTATTATAAAAATAGGGAGGATTTGAAAAAATAGGCTTTAGTAGAGTTTTGATCAACAAATATTTATTTTATAAATTTTGAGATCAAGTTTATTATTATATAATATAATATAATACAATATAATATAATATAACATAATATAATATGTATAAGTTTGATACGTTCTGACTCAACTTCCCGAGCTCAGTCAATCACGTCTGCTGATTGACACCACGGGCATCTCCTCTGCAAGTTCCCTCAGCGGAGACCGTAGGGTGCAGATGCCACCGAGAGGTGGTTGTTGCTGGTTTGTTCTCTTTGCTCGACACTTTTCTCCCATTGGAATATATAAATGTAGTAGTAAACGACAACCGATCCTCAGCGATTACCGCAATCCTCTGTGATTGCACGAACCACAGCGTTCACTTGTCGTTTAACCTCCTTAGAGTTAACTTGTCATCTAACCATAGAAGTAACTAGTCGTATAACGTCTACGCGTTATTAACAGGTCTCAGCGCCGCCACCATAAATTACAAGAGGTAGTTTATTTGTTGTAATAAGGAAAAAAATACCACCAATAAAACTAAGATTATTTAACTAATACTTTCTTGTGTTTTATTTCTTTGAACCTTTCCTTTCTTTTCCATACACCATTGACTGCTTGGGAGTTCTCTCATTGTCGATTTACCCCCGCTCCCAAGAGTTAATTACTTGATCACCCCGCACCCCCATCCATCACACATCAATACAGCGAGGAGTAGAGCATACTCCTCGCCTAAACATTTGGTCGTATCGAGCCGGATAGAAGCAAGTCGCCTAGTTGTTCTTGTTGCGGACGGAGAAATTATTTTAAATCATCTCTCTTCATCACATCA